AGCCATCCTTACTGGAGTGAGATGGTATCTCAGTGTGGTTTTGATTTGCATTTCCCGTATGCTGAGTGATGTTGAGCATTTTTTCATATGTTTGTTGGCCATTTGTATATCTTCCTTAGAGAAATGTCTACTTAGCTCTTTTGCCGATTTTTTAATTGGGTTGCTTGTTTTTTTCTTGTAAAGTTGTTTGAGTTCCTTGTATATTCTGGATTTTAATCCTTTGTCAGATGTATATTTTGCAAATATTTTCTTCCACTCTGTTGGTTGTCTTTTAACTCTGTTAATTGTTTCTTTTGCTGTGCAGAAGCTTTTTAGTTTGATATAATCCCATTTGTTTATTTTTCCTTTGGTTGCCCATGCTTTTGGGGTCATATTCATGAAGTCTGTGTCCAGTCCTACTTCCTGAAGTGTTTCTCCTATGTTTTCTTTAAGAAGTTTTATTGTTTCAGGGTGTATATTTAATTCTTTAATCCATTTTGAGTTGACTTTAGTATATGGTGAGAGGTATGGATCTAGTTTCATTCTCCTGCATATTGATATCCAGTTATCCCAGCACCATTTGCTGAAGAGGTGGTCTCTTCCCCAGTGTATAGGCTTGGTGCAAATCTTATTTTTAAAAACCCATGCTTCAATTTCTTCTTTCTAAGTTTTAATTAAGCTATTTCCTTATTTGTTTGTGACTTCTTTCTTTGCATTCCCCTTCAGCCCCCTCTCCCCCCATTATGGAGCACATATTAAACTGATTTATGCTGCCCACACTCCAGCGCTCCCACTTGGAAGCTATTTTTTTTCTGATTGAGCCAATGCTTTAGTAACATCGTTAGACACTATTCTAATTGAGCTGTGAATTGCTGAGGCCTCTTTGAGGGCAGTTAACCCTACAAAATCTGTAGTGTTCATTATATTTAAAATGCACATTTAGTCTTGTCTAAATATTTGCCTCTTTTGGTCAGAACATGGATTATTTTTCTGTTGTTTAAACTTTACTTGTTTCAGTTCTTTTTTGTCTCCCTGTAACTCATGTCTAATTTTTTTTTTTCATTCAGCAATTTCGGAGTGAATGGTTCTTTAAGCATCTTGTATTAGCCATTTCAGTGCTCATTGTGCATGTTTGGATCCCCCCCTCCGAGAAGATTGTGTAGTTAGGCAGAATTTTTTCTCTTTTCAGTGACGATGAAATGGTAACTCTGAGGTGACCCTTAATCGTGTATAAAACTAACCTGAATAAAACTTTGAATTCATTGTTTTCTACACTAAATCAATTGGACCAGCATAACACAGCATTTAATACAATTTTGTCAGATTATCAAATTTTGGGCTTTTTGCTCAACAGCTGAAGACTCAATTGTTTTAAAAAGAGAAATTCAAACAGTTGATAAATATGTCTAGGTATCATTCATTTGAGCTACTTTCGGTATGATACTGTTTGCATCATAATATGCCAAACATATACTTGATAACGAGTCAGATTGAGAACTTTTGGATTTTCTTTTCACTCTAAAATGTATAATTTTGGTGATGGGAAATTTGGTTGAATTTGAATTTCTCAGAAACAAGGTATTTTAGGCTATGTCATCTTGACACTATTACATAATGTAATTAGTTGGCATCCAGAAAAATTTGTTTTAACCATGAGAATGAATGAAAACTAGGATAGTGATTACACATGTGAAACTAAGATAGTAGGTGGTCAGATTCTTATAATTTATAATTTAAGTCTTGATAACTTACCACTGCAAATTAGATCAGATCAGATAGCTACCAAAGACTTATCGTAGAGAAGGTCTATTGTTACATCTTAATCATTTTAAAATTAGTGAAAATTGCAGATACCTTTCATCTCAAGGACTGTATTTCATTATTTACATTTTAAATGAGAATTTTTTGCAGTTTGGAAAACTTGTAACTGTGTGGGATTTATCTTTTTATTGATTTTTTACCCCCACAGTTTAGGGCAGTGGTTTTCAATCTTGGCTGTACTTTGAGATCTCTAGGGGATCAAGATTACAAAATACAGATGCCCGGATTCCACTCTTAGAATTGTGTGATTCATTTGGTCTGGTGCACCAAGGTTGGAGCTCCATAGTGTTCGAGCCATTAATGTCTTCTAACTTTCTTTTGAACTGTTTCACTTGTGTCAATTTTATATTCCTTAATACAGTACAGTGATATACAGATACTTGAAAAATGTAATAATCTCACATCGAACTTAATGGGTCTTTTTAAGGTATTGCCACATTTGTTTTGCTTTCACATCTCTCTCTCTCACACCCCTTTCCTCTCTTGTCTTCCCTCCCTCTCCTCCCTTTTCTTCCTCTTACCTCCCCCTCCTCCTTTTCTCCTGTCTCTTCATTTTCAATTTATTTGAACTGTCTGGTAGCAAGTCTTGAGAAGCTGTATTTCCCATGATGAGATGCTGGTATATCATCACTATTTTAAGTAGGAAGTTAGTCTTCTTTTAAAGTACTGTACTCTAAAATGCTTAGTTGTGTTCCTTTTAGAGACGAAGGACTTTAAGTGCCTAAATTAGTGCCTAAACTCCCGATGGAATTTAATATGCTTGGAAACCATAAAATTTTTAGCC